GTTCAAATATGTCAAACAGTTCAAACAGCTTCTTCTGAAGAATTAAAAGGCATAAAATTATAATATTTGGCTGGTGACTTCCCGGGATAGAGCTCACCAAAGTTTGCAAATGAAAATGACCTCAACCTACTTTAGAGGTCACAGAGGTCAACAACATTTTAATGGATTTGTTCTTGAGAACTAAAAGGAATGGATTCATAAGATTTGGCTGGTAGCTTTTTGGAATAGAGCTAACCAATTTGAGAAGGAAAATGACATTGACCTACTTACAAGATCACAGGGAAAAATAGGTCAAGCAACTTCTGAAGAAGAATCAAAAAGCATAGAATCTTATAATAATATTTTGCTGGTAGTTTCAACAGATGGAGCCAACAAAGTTTGCGAGGGAAATATATTTAGTGCAATATAATATTTAATGAGAATATTTTGCTATGACTGCTTAAATATTCAGGTGAGCGATACAGGCCCTCTTGGGCCTCTTGTTATAAATTTCTATGCATACTAAACCTGGGATTTGTTAGAATTTTATTACAGCAATTGAATAATAAAAGCAATATTATTCTTTGCAAAATATGTGTTTATCTGATGGTGCACATACTTTGAATTATAAGTCTATTGCAAATTCAAATATGAAAAGTTATTCATACAAAGTTAAGCAGTAATAAAGTTGTAATTGTTAGCTCACCTGGTACGAAGGACCAAGGTGAGCTTATGCCATACCGTTGCGTCGGTCCGTCCGTCTGTACGTCAACAATTTCTTTAAACAACTTCTTCTTCTCTAAATTTGACTGGAAGCATCCCTAGGTGGTGGGGATTCAAAATTGTACAAATGATGGGGCTGACCCCCCAGGGGGCTGAGGGGCGGGGCAAAAAGGGGGCAATTTGGCTATATTGCTTTAAGCGACTTCTCTGGAACTAAAAGGTGGATATCAACCATATTTGACTTGAAGCATCCCTAGGTGATGGGGATTCAAAATTGTACAAATGGTGGGGTTGACCCCCCAGGGGGCTAAGGGGTGGTGCCAAAAGGGGTCAATTTGGCTATATTGCTACAAACAACTTCTTCTGTAGAACTGTGCTTTAGATATCAATTATATTTGATCAAAAGCATTTTTGGGAGGCAGGGATTCAAAATTGTACAAATGGTGGGGCTGACCCCCCAGTGGGCTGAAGGGCGGAGCCAAAAGGGGTTATTTGGCTATATTGATTTAAACAACTTCTTCTCTGGAACTAAGAAGTGGATATCAACCATATTTGACTGGAAGCATCCCTAGTTGGTGGTGATTAAAAATTGTACAAATTGTGGGGCTGACCCCACCAGGGGGCTGAGGGGCAGGGTCAAAAGGGGGTAATTTGGCTATATTGCTACAAACAACTTCTTCTGTAGAACTGTGCTTTTGGATATCAATCAAATATGATCAAAAGCATTCTTGGGAGGCAGGGATTCAAAATTGTACAAATGGTGGGGCTGACCCCCCCAGGGGTCTGAGGGGCGGAGCCAAAAAGTGTTATTTGGCTATATTGATTTAAGCAACTTCTTCTCTGGAACTAAGAAGTGGATCTCAACCATATTTGACTGGAAGCATCCCTAGGTGGTGATTCAAAATAGTACAAATGGTGGGGCTGACCCCCCAGGGGGCTGAGGGTCAGGGCCAAAAGGGGGCAATTTGGCTATATTGCTACAAACAACTTCTTCTGTAGAACTGTGCACTGGATATCAATCATATTTGCTCAATAGCACTCTTGGCAGGCAGTGATTCAAAATTGTACAAATGGTGGGGCTGACCCCCCCGGGCTAAAGGGTGGAGCCAAAAAAAGTGTGTTACTTGGAAATGGTTGAGATCCCCACCATATAACCATGGTATAAAATTGCTGAGTATTAAGAGAAGAATGCACATTTGCTTCCAGGATGGCCCTTGGGTCTGGCCCCACTCTTGGAGACATAGTCCCTGAGCCATAACTCTAAAACTGTTGAGATCCCCACCCTAAAACTATATATACAAATGCTGGGCATAAAGAGACGAATGCAGTCATGATATCAGAATAGACCCTGGGATCTGACCGAACCCCTAAGGACCTAGTTTCTTAGTCACAGCTAGTTGAGAGCCCCAACCTATAACTGTATATACAATTGCTGAATATAAAGAGATGATTGCACATATGCTTCCAGGATGGCCTTGGGGACTGCCCACCCTTGGAGACTTAACCCCTGGGTCATAACTTCGAAATGGTTAAGATCCCCACCCCAAAACTATATATACAATTGTTGGGCACAAAGAGACGAATTCAGTCTTGATATTAGAATTGACCCCAGGGTCTCGACTCTGACCCATCCTTGCAGAATTAACCCCTGGGTCATAACTTTGAAACAGTTGAGATCCCCACCCCAAAACTATATATACAAATGCTGGGAAAAAAGAGACAAATGCAGTCAAGATATTAGAATTGATCCTGGGGTCTGCCCACAACCCTAGGGACCTAGCTTCTGAGTCAAAGCTTGGGAACAGTTGAGATCCCCACCCTATAACCATACATAAAATTGCTGGGCATGAAAAATCTAATACAGATATGCTGCAAGGATTCGCTTTGGGGTCTGGCATATTCCCTAGATCTCATTTGGAGAATATTTTGCCATGATTGCTTAGGTATCCAGGTAAGCGATACAGACCCTCTGGGCCTCTTGTTCATTTTGGGAATTTGAAACCCTACATGAAGGTCTCTTGAAAAAATAATGATGAAAAGAAATTGAAGTGAAATAGCACTTGCTAATGCTTACTATATGCCAACCATATACATGTGTATCTGAGTAATTAGTACCTGTTAATGTATTCCTCCACACAACCATCTTTGAATCATGCTATCTGCATCAGTGATGGCGTGATATTGCATAATTCACTACTATTAAAATGACAATTCATTAACAGTATTTGGTAATTTGTTATTCCTGTACATTGTCTGAAATGAATACTTCTTTATTTTCAGTTATTTGAAAGATGAATTGATACCATGCACAAGCAAAATGCTTGTAGTTGGTGGTAAGTTCTGCCCACAAAAAAGAATAGCAGACCATATGGTAGACCTGGAGATCGTTCTTCGGACTCTGATTCCTGCCCTGAAAACTGATGACGATATAAGTGCCTGTTTCAACAACTTAGGTAATTTCATTTTACCAATATGACTCGAGTGTCTTTACTCATTATACATGGTACTGAAATCTCTAAGTGGTAAAAGCATAACGTTCTAAATGTAACAGAGTTCGTATACTCAGTGTAGAGTTAATTGATTGTTGGATCGGAAGGTCAAGTTTGTCCTCTACAGGACAATACCGATGAGATGTTGGTCTAGTTTGTCCTCTACAGGACAATAACAATGAGATGTTGGTAGGTCTAGTTTGTCCTCTATAGGACAATAACAATGAGATGTTGGGAGGTCTAGTTTGTCATCTACAGGACACTAACAATGAGATGTTGGTCTAGTTTGTCCTCTACAGGACAGTAACAATGAGATGTTGGTCTAGTTTGTCCTCTACAGGACAATAACAATGAGATGTTGGTAGGTCTAGTTTGTCATCTACAGGACACTAACAATGAGATGTTGGTAGGTCTAGTTTGTCCTCTATAGGACAATAACAATGAGATGTTGGTAGGTCTAGTTTGTCCTCTACAGGACAATAACAATGAGATGTTGGTCTAGTTTGTCCTCTACAGGACAATACCAATGAGATGTTGGTCTAGTTTGTCCTCTACAGGACAATAACAGTGAGATTATGGAAGGTCAAGTTTGTCCTCTACAGGACAATAACAATGAGATGTTGGTAGGGCTAGGTTGTCATCTACAGGACACTAACAATGAGATGTTGGTAGGTCTGGTTTGTCCTCTATAGGACAATAACAATGAGATGTTGGTAGGTCTAGTTTGTCATCTACGTCTACAGGACAATAACAATGAGATGTTGGTAGGTCTAGTTTGTCCTCTACAGGACAATAACAATGAGATGTTGGTCGGTCTAGTTTGTCATCTACAGGACAATAACAATGAGATGTTGGTAGGTCTAGTTTGTCCTCTACAGGACAGTAACAATGAGATGTTGGTCTAGTTTGTCCTCTACAGGACAATAGCAATGAGATGTTGGTAGGTCTAGTTTGTCATCTACGTATACAGGCCAATAACAATGAGATGTTGGTAGGTCTAGTTTGTCCTCTACTGGACAATAACAAAGAGATGTTGGTAGGTCTAGTTTGTCCTCTACTGGACAATAACAAAGAGATGTTGGTAGGTCTAGTTTGTCCTCTACAGGACAATACCAATTAGATGTTGGTAGGTCTAGTTTGTCCTATACAGAACAATAACAATGAGATGTTGGTAGGTCTAGTTTGTCCTCTACTGGACAATAACAATGAGATGTTTGTCTAGTGTGTCCTCTACAGGACAATAACAATGATATGTTGGTAGGGCTAGTTTGTCCTCTACAGGACAATACCAATGAGATGTTGGTCTAGTTTGTCCTGTAGAGGACAAACTAGACTTACCAACATCTCATTGTTATTGTTCTGTATAGGACAAACTAGACCTACCAACATCACATTGTTATTGTTCTGTATAGGACAAACTAGACCTACCAACATCTAATTGGTATTGTCCTGTAGAGGACAATACCAATGAGATGTTGGTCTAGTTTGTCCTATACAGGACACTAACAATGATATGTTGGTCTAGTTTGTCCTCTACTGGACAATAACAAAGAGATGTTGGTAGGTCTAGTTTGTCCTCTACAGGACAATAACAATGAGATGTTGTTAGGTCTAGTTTGTCCTCTACAGGACAATAGCAATGAGATGTTGGTCTAGTTTGTCCTATACAGGACGCTAACAATGATATGTTGGTCTAGTTTGTCCTCTACTTGACAATAACAAAGAGATGTTGGTAGGTCTAGTTTGTCCTCTACAGGACAATAACAATAAGATGTTGGTAGGTCTATAGTTTGTCCTCTACTGGACAATAACAATGAGATGTTGGTCTAGTTTGTCCTCTACAGGAAAATAACAATGAGATGTTGGTCTTGTTTGTCCTCTACAGGACAAGAACAATAAGATGTGGGTAGGTCTATAGTTTGTCCTCTACTCGACAATAACAATGAGATGTTAGTCTAGTTTGTCCTCTACAGGACGATAACAATGAGATGTTGGAAGGTCAAGTTTGTCCTCTACAGGACGATAACAATGAGATGTTGGAAGGTCAAGTTTGTCCTCTACAGGACGATAACAATAAGATGTTGGTCTAGTTTGTCCTGTACAGGACAATAACAATGAAATGTTGGTAGGTCTAGTTTCTCCTCTACAGGACAATAACCTCTACAGGACAATAACAATGAGATGTTGGAAGGTCTAGTTTGTCATCTACAAGACAATACCAATGAGATGTTGGTAGGTCTAGTTTGTCCTCTACAGGACACTAACAATGAGATGTTGGTCTATTTTGTCCTCTACGGGACAATAACAATGAGATGTTTGTAGGTCTAGTTTGTCCTCTAGAGGACAATAACAATGAGATGTCGTTAGGTCTAGTTTGTCCTCTACTGGACAATAACAATGAGATGTTTGTAGGTCTAGTTTGTCCTCTACTGAACAATAACAATGAAATGTTGGTAGGTCTAGTCATCTACAGGACACTAACAATAAGGTGTTGGTCTAGTTTGTCCTCTACTAGACAATAACAATGAGATGTTGGTTTAGTTTGTCCTCTTCTGGACAATAACAATGAATAACAATGAGATGTTGGTAGGTCTAGTTTGTCCTATATAGAACAATAACAATGAGATGTTGGTCGGTCTAGTTTGTCATCTACAGGACAATAACAATGAGATATTGGTAGGTCTAGTTTGTCCGCTACAGGACAATAACAATGAGATGGTGGAAGGTCAAGTTTGTCCTCTACAGGACAATGACAATGAGATGTTGGTAGGTCTAATTTGTCCTCTACAGGACAATACGAATGAGATGTTGGTAGGTCTAATTTGTCCTCTACAGGACAATACCAATGAGATGTTGGTCGGTCTAGTTTGTCCTCTACAGGGCACTAACAATGAGATGTTGGTCTAGTTTGTACTCTACAGGACAATAACAATGTGTTGTTAGTAGGTCTAGTTTGTCCTCTACTGAACAATAACAATGAAATGTTGGTAGGTCTAGTTTGTCGTCTACAGGACAATACCAATAAGATGTTGGTAGGTCTAGTTTGTCCTATACAGGACACTAACAATGAGATGTTGTTAGGGCTAGTTTGTCCTCTACAGGACGATAACAATGAGATGTTGGAAGGTCAAGTTTGTCCTCTACAGGACAATGACAATGAGATGTTGGTAGGTCATAACAATGAGATGTTGGTCTATTTTGTCCTCTACAGGACAATAACCTCTACAGGACAATAACAATGAAATGTTTGTAGGTCTAGTTTGTCCTCTACTGAACAATAACAATGAAATGTTGGTCTAGTTTGTCCTCTACTGGACAATGAGATGTTGGTCTAGTTTGTCCTATACAGGACAATAACAATGAGATGGTGGTAGGTCTAGTTTGTCCTCTTCAGGACAATAACAATACAGGACACTACCGATGAGATGTTGGTCTAGTTTGTCCTCTACTGAACAATAACAATGAAATGTTGGTCTAGTTTGTCCTCTTCAGGACAATAACAATACAGGACACTACCGATGAGATGTTGGTCTAGTTTGTCCTATACAGGACACTAACAATGAGATGTTGGTTTAGTTTGTCCTCTTCTGGACAATAACAATGAATAACAATGAGATGTTGGTAGGTCATAACAATGAGATGTTGGTCTATTTTGTCCTCTACAAGACAATAGCAATGAGATGTTGGTAGGTCTACAGGACAATAACAATGAAATGTTGGTAGGTCTAGTCATCTACAGGACACTAACAATGAGATGTTGGTAGGGCTAGTTTGTCCTCTACAGGACACTAACAATGAGATGTTGGTCTATTTTGTCCTCTACAGAACAATAACAATGAGATGTTGGTCTAGTTTGTACTCTACAGGACAATAACAATGAGATGGTGGTAGGTCTAGTTTGTCCTCTACTGAACAATAACAATGAAATGTTGGTAGGTCTAGTTTGTCCTATACAGGACACTAACAATGAGATGTTGTTAGGTCTAGTTTGTCATCTACGTATACAGGACAATAACAATGAGATATTGGTAGGTCTAGTTTGTCCTCTTCAGGACAATAACAATACAGGACACTACCGATGAGATGTTGGTCTAGTTTGTACTCTACAGGACAATAACAATGAAATGTTGGTAGGTCTAGTTTGTCCTATATAGAACAATAACAATGAGATGTTGTTAGGTCTAGTTTGTCCTCTACAGGGCACTAACAATGAGATGTTGGTAGGTCTAGTTTGTCCTCTACAGGACAATACTAATGAGATGTTGGTCTTGTTTAGGGTTATGGTAGCAATGACCTCTACAGGACAATAACACTGAGATGTTGTTAGGTCTAGGTTGTCCTCTACAGGACATTAACAATGAGATGTTGATCTAGTTTGTCCTCTTCAGGACAATAACAATGAGGTGTTGTTAGGTCTAGGTTGTCCTCTACAGGACACTAAAAATGAGATGTTGGTCTTGTTTAGGGTTATGGTAGCAATGACCTCTACAGGACAATTACAATGAGATGGTGTTAGGTCTAGTTTTTCCTCTACAGGACAATAACACTGAGTTGTTGGTAGGTCTAGTCTGTCCTCTACAGGACATTAACAATGAGATGTTTGTCTAGTTTGTCCTCTACTGGACAATAACAAAGAGATGTTGGTAGGTCTAGTCTGTCCTCTACAGGACAATAACACTGAGTTGTTGGTAGGTCTAGTCTGTCCTCTACAGGACAGTAACAATGAGATGTTTGTCTAGTTTGTCCTCTACTGGACAATAACAAAGAGATGTTGGTAGGTCTAGTCTGTCCTCTACAGGACAATAACACTGAGTTGTTGGTAGGTCTAGTCTGTCCTCTACTGGACAATAACAATGAGGTGTTGTTAGGTCTAGGTTGTCCTCTACAGGACACTAACAATAAGATGTTGGTAGGTCTACTTTGTCCTCTACAGGACAATTACAATGAGATGGTGTTAGGTCTAGTTTTTCCTCTACAGGACAATAACACTGAGATGTTGTTAGGTCTCGTTTGTCCTCTACAGGACACTAAAAATGAGATGTTGGTCTTGTTTAGGGTTATGGTAGCAATGACCTCTACAGGACAATAGCAGTGAGATGTTGGTAGGGCTAGTTTGTCCTCTATAGGACACTAACAATGAGATGTTTGTCTAGTTTGTCCTCTACAGGACACTAACAATGAGATGTTGGTCTTGTTTAGTGTTATGGTAGCAATGATTAGGTTACAGTTTATAACATAGCCATATACCTATGTCTGATTGGTATTAGAGGAGTCTCCCTTAAAAATTCCAGCACATCTACAAATTCAGAATAACCACAGACGGAAATCCATTTGCTTTTACTTGGTTTTCTCTCAAAGCTGCCATAGGTTTCCACACTTTATTAGATATACCAGCTTGGGAGTTTGCAGATCTTTTCTGGTGCCAACTAATGGGTAAATACACCCCAGACGTGGTTTCATTCGTCAGTCTTTTAAATATGATGTCACTCAACCATTATATTTGTGGTCATTTTTAATTGATATGCAACATAATTCATGGCAAATGTTTCCCTGGATGGAAACAGGAATCATTTCCAAACGAAACGCGATATGAATACGGGAGAAAAAGGTCCACCAACTTGTGATGGTTGATAACTGTGTTTATCTATCTCTCAGTAGTAAGTTTTCAAATTGCATTAGGCAGTCTGTAAACCTTGTGTCTTTATACAATTTGAAAATTAACTAGAGTAAGATAAACATGATACCTATCACTTACTTGGAAACCGCTTTGTAAATCCAAAGTACAAATGATCTGTTTTGCTGATTTCCTAGTTTGTAATTGTTTTGGATAGTAAGATTGATCCTTAAGGGTTGCTGTAATGCAGTGACATGCTTAGATTACCGATACATGACTGTGTTATCATTCTTGGCTATATATAAACTGTTTTTGTTCATTTCAGACCAGTTTGAGGTAGCCTTGGACCTATATTTTCAATTTGCTAGTGGATGGAACACAGACTTGGAAGATGAAACAAGTGTATTTTATAGAAACAAATACAGAGAATTTAAATTTCAGGTGAGGGCCTTATAAAGATGCTGATGGTCTTATTATCTTCAGATTACCTATTGTCCTTAATTTTGACCTAAAAACTTGGCCAGGAATATTTTTTTGCCAAGGTTATGTTTTATGAATGTCGTGTCTCCCAACCAGCCCGGGTACAAAAGGGCACTACACAATTGAGCTATTTTGACCTTATTTGGCAGTGATCATTAAATTCCCTGCTTAAATGTTTTATGCATATTTAGACTGTATGATTAATGAGGCTGCTGACTTCTTATTTGTTCATTGGTTTCTGTGCAATAACTCTTCTAAATATGGATGGATTTTAAGCAGATTTGGTGTACACATTTTTATTGGCAAGTGTCAGACTCAGTTTTATTACCAAATCTATGTGTACGTTCATGTGTTGTAAAAGCACCTTAGAGTAGTTTTACAAATTTTATAGGATGCTATATATTAGTGTTGTATATTAAATTATTATTGTTATTACATATATTTACACATAATAAATGACACTATTGTCTTTCTGAAAATAAAGCCTGCATATTTGAAAAATTAATTTGGAAATTGTTTTATTGCATTTATTGCATACTTTTACTTGCAATTGGTTTAGGGTGAAATGATGATGAGGGATGCTTCTATCCCATACATAGAAAACAGTTTGGATGTCATATCTGTAAGGTGAGTGAAACTTATGTCTCTTCTCCATGCATATATGTCAAAGTGTTATTATCATTGGCAGCCTAAACGGCGAAAAATCAACTGTTCCAAACAAAAACAATATCAATAAACAAACAATGTTACATCAGTTTTTGATATAATTAAACAAGATAGTAACAAACAAACAAAACAGAAACAAACATTGAGTTTGCAAAATAAATAGGTTGTTTTTTGCTAAACAGATATTCTTTTCTAACAAAAGGTTGTCGGGAAATTAAATCAAACAAATCAATAATTTGACAAACAAAAATGATGTTATTTTAGTCTGAAAATACATATGAAAATTGCGTGTATTTCTGGCTCACCTTATATTTTATCACTCATATTCTTAAATCCAAAATGATCACTCTGACTTTTGCTTGGCAATATAATGTGGGAAATATATGGGTTTATAGGTGCCTGTTTGGGCCCTTGCTGTCCTGAAAGTGTCTATTCTTCAATTGAAAATGATGTTTCATATTATTTGCTTTCTACTAATTTTTATCATGACATAGAATAGAGTTTTGATTTATTTACAGAACTTGTAACATTTTTCAGAACTTTATATTTGTCATAGAAATTTTGAGGAGTTTTGATTTTGGAGGTTCTAGTTGTGACTGCTTGTACATTTCTTGTTAAATACAGTCAAGATAGTAGAAAGAAACGAGCGACATCAGCTACTTCCAACAGTACAGGATTTATGGTGAAAGCTGAAATCTACGTTGATGATGCTGAATTGACTACTTCAAAAGCAAAAGAAGAAATTAAAAGTGCCATGGACAAAAAGGACGCACCAAATTACCCACTTTTTGAAAATGCCACATTAGTAGATGTGGTGAAGAGGAACGAAGGTCAAGGTAATTTTAAACAAGAGAATGCTTTCCAGATCATGCTACTTTGAAGTCACCTTAGTTCACTTAATGGTGGATTATCATCACGATTTCATAAGATGATCCTTAGATGATGAGAATCACAATCTATCTTAAGCAGGGGCTGAGAGGAGGGCAAGAAGTGGAAACAGAGTGCAAAACCTTCAAATGACATCTCGGATGAATTACTCATCATTTTTCAACAACATCGCTTCTTTCACAAAAAAATGAATCCATTAATGATTAGGATTTTGTTTTAATTTGTTTAATGTCCTATTAACAGCTGAGTTCATTTAAGGACGTAAATGATTAGGATCAGAATCTTTACGAGAAAGGGTTGATCTCACAGAGGTCTTTAAGGGCAGAGCAATATATTATAAGTTTTCACTTATATAATAAGTGTAAAATCTTCAAACCACCATCCTCTGAAAGTTATTGTTGGATTTAGACCAATATCTCAAACAATGATTCTTGATGAGGATCACAATCTGTGCTAAAGAAGGAGCTGAGAGCCACCAAGTGTTAACCCTTTCACCACTGTAGACCATAATGGACTCATCCATACCAATGCATGGTAGGGTCTATTAAAGTTACATAGGGGTGAAAGGGTTAAACCTCAAACTCATTCCTTGTTCACCATGCCCCACATTGGGGGACACTTGCCTAACTGGAGTTTCATTCACTTGATTGTCAAGTTTGATTTACACTCTGTGTATCAGTCATAACTTCATTCATGGTGGCCTTTAAGGCTCTTGAATATAAACGAATGCAGCACTAATTACTCAATAAGCATGTAACACTCATAGCATTTATAGAAGGGAAAGTAGATCAGTTTTATCTGACAACAGTTTTAAGTTTTAAGGTATGGTTTCTCAGAAGAACTTTAACATTGGTTTGACCTTTGTTGACATACAAGTAATACACACCATTGATTGGCATAGATGGACTTTTTATAAATATTTACTCATTCTGTTTACAGAAAAACCTGCCAACTGTACTGACTTGAGTTTCATTCTGCAATACATAAGAAATGAGTGTTTCTCGTTTAATATGCTGAACTTGGCTGGAGATGACTTCTGTCGGTGAGTACATGTACCTGAATGGGTAAACTTTATTCACATACCTGACAATCCTTTTAAAAAAAATGTGCAAGTCTCCAGAAATTTTAAAGTACCTCCACAATTTTCTGGTTGGACATAAATTTCCCTATTTCTCCAGATTCAAATCACCCTTCATCCGTAATCTGTCATCTGTCATTCCATCTGTCCATTCGAAACAATTATTGTTAGTGCTATTTCTCAGAAAGTACAGCTTTTCTGCTACTGTGAGTTAGGACTATTGTTTGATTATGTGTAAACCATTCTGTTAATCTTTACAAGATATTTTTTTCTTGTAGATTTTTTTTTTGTTTGAGTGTCAAATTAATAAACACAAAAAATAATGACTATTATATTCATTTTCTATCCTTTTAAGATAAATTTTGTAAGAGGGGTTTGGGGTGAATTTCTTTTAAATTTCGTTGGGATATAAATAGTATCAGATAGATTTCAGGAATTTTAGGAAAGCATTTATTTCTAGAAAACACATAGTGGAAAAGATCCAAAAAAGATCTGCTGTATCTAACAAATTAGCTTCTAGGTCAACTCTTTTACTTATACTGATCATAACTAATATAAATTGATCATGAAGTTAGTATTTTTCACTTTGTTATTTTTCATTTATGTTTTACTTTTTCTTTTACCAGAATCTACAATGACACAGCATATTGTCTGCAGTTAAAGACGAAGCGCCTAGGAGATTGTAATGCCAGCGACATATTTGCTAGTGTAGAAAAAGATGAAAACAAAGACATGTGGGATATGGTGTTTGGTGGAAAAGATCCAAAAACGTGCAACAGAAGTAAGTGAGAATTCATTAAGGTTTCTTATTAAGAAGAAAGGACAAACAGAGAAGAGAACTGGTCTCCTTTCCCAACCAATCATTTGTCCTGATGTTAGTTGATGGATATTATGAATGTGGACAAATTCTAGTGTATTTAGCAGTGATGTTGTGCATTACTAAACATTTTGTTTTCCTATCTAGTATCTAAGATGTGATAAGGTAGCTTCTGATTTGTTAACACTTTTATCAGGTAGAGGTATGTTAGGGCTTTATTTTAGATCAAACAACCATATTTTAAATTTCAGTATTCAGGATATCTTCCCTAGGAGTGATATATACAGTATATTCTTTTATTGACTTGGGGTTAATTTCTTTTATAAAAAAAAGAGTTCATGTTTACTCATCAGCAAATACTTGACAGTAATAATTGTTAAATTAACTCAGTTTGAAATGGCTGGAGGTTTAACTACCCCTGTCCCATTGAATCCACATATGTAAACAGACATTGTAAGTTTTGAGGTACTGTTGAAAAGTGAAAACAATGAATTACAAATGATGATTGGTAGCAACATATTTGTGTCAAAAAATATATGATAGATTTTCACGGTTACCATAATGTATCGATTGAAATAGCACAATATCACTGTAATTGAGAGCTGATGATGTGCATGACTTCTTTAAAATTCAAACTTCAATATCTTTTTTGTAGCTGATTTTGATAAAGTTTCATTAGATGCAAGTCCATGCACCCCTGGATATCTCGGTTATCTAGCAAAGTACAACTGTAAGAATTCTGTATTGGATGGAATGCTACAAGATGCCCGTCAACGTTTGGAGAATGACACTTGTGGGTAAGTTAAATTTGCTGTTACTAAAAAAACAAATATGGAAAGGTATTCGTATGGATATACAAGATATCATGCTTCCAGGATTGGCCTCGGTGAGTGGACCTATCCCTGGGGTCTTATTTGCAATATAACTTTTATGAGAATGTTTCCCATGATAGCTTAAATACCCAGGCAAGCTATACAGACCCTTTGGACCTCTTGTTACATTATGTACCCTATTTTGTTTGTAATATCAATGGGTCAAAGTAAGGATGTAGAACTGAAGGTTGTGAACCCCCTAGGGCCTGAGGGACAAAGCCTGTTTATGAATTCAGGGCAAGTTTTCTTCAAAATCCTACTCCTTTTATGGCTCCACAGATTGTAAACTAATTTGGTTTGAATCATCACTGGGGCAAATTGATGATTTTGCTTAACTGAACTTGGTGCAACCGCCTTGGCCAGAGAGGTGAAGCCCCAATAGAATAGGATCCCTTCCCAATAACCATGTTAAACAATTGCTATGGACAAAAAGGCAAATAAACTTATTAGGACTGTCCCTGTCCCTGGAGACTTGCTCCCTGTACCATACACGGAAATAGTTGAGATCCCCACCCTATTGTATGATTACAAAGCATGAAGAGACAAGTACACTGTTACCAGGATTGGCCCTGGGTCTGAACCTGTCAGCTGAGAACTTGATCCTCAGGTTGAACATGGAAACAGTTGAGATCCAAACCACACCTATTCTAGCTGCTGCTCTCATGGTCTCGCCCTCTCCAGACTATGATCATGAGTGCCCCTTGGGTCTTGCCTGGTTTAGGCTTATAGTTCCTATACTTTTGGGATAATCATAATATAACATTCAACAATATTAAAATGAAATGTGTAATTCAGATTATTAGGCCTCTTGTTCATAATTATACTACTGCAAGACACTCAGACTACTGATAAAGCCAATAGGCCTCTTGCTATTGTTTAATAATAGCCAATTATTTTTGAAAAATGATTTCAATCATGATTTTTCATAAAAAATTCATAATTTCATAATAATCAACTTCAATGATTTTTTTTTTTTACAGAATGGCATTTGCTTTAACAAGATGTTTGAACAACACTGTGATGAAAAATACAACACATCAATGTCCTTCATCCATGGTGGTCAATGCCGTAGAGAATGCCTACCCTAATCGTGCAGCAAACTTCAGCATCGATTCATGTATGTATTGTAGGGACTGAAACATTGCAATACAACAGAAAAAAATTGTGATATGAAAAATCATACATGTACCTGTACGAGTTTTTGTGGATATAATCGAAAGGTTGTGTAATTTTCTGTTTAAAAAACTGATTATTGTAGAATATGTAGTTTTTGGTTTCCTTCTTTAGGAAATAAAACCTGTCATTATATGCCTCCTTCTCTTTTGCATTTTCTTTTTCCAAGTTATCTAAGTGTTTGTATCTACAACTGACCTATGTTGCATTCATGTATATATCCCCGGTAAATAAATAATATATATTTCCAATGCTTCTTAAAGTGACAAGCATGTCAAAGTGAAGCATGAACTTGATCGGGTCCTGTATTGAGAAAGAACACTCTGACCCTGTGGTGAAAAATACATTCTTATAATCATCAGAGTTGGTGAAGAGGAGGCTACGCATTCTAGCAACATGATTCCTTTTCCAAATAGTATTTAGCACATGTACAGGTGGTGACATTGGGTTTGCCCTCCAATAGAAAAAAAAAGGGAAACAGAAACAGCAATTCTAAGAAAACATATGTCCCTGTATGTCTGTTATACATACGCTTGGAAAACCATATAGATCTAGTCAGTAGTTCCAATCTCATTTCATAGACAATAAATAAACATTGAACTTACAAGAATAATTCTTCCTTGCATTTTTGTTTCCTTAAATGCCAAATTTGTGCAATGTATATATTACATTAAAACGTTTGTTACAAGATTTTTGTAAGCATGGAAACAATGACCAAGTCCATTTTTGTTTGTTTGTATTAAAGTTTAAGATGCAATCTCTCTCTTCCAGTTTTTGTGTTATCCCATAAAACATGTTAGAGGGTATAAAACATATCCATGGTTTGGATGGGAGGAGTGGCAGAGTGTTGCATACTCAGATCAGGTCTTGTACCGCATACACACATTCATGGACCCTTGTTCATCTCCCTAAACTTTAGAGCATTCTCATATTAAACTCTCACCTACACTTGCCAAATTTTGTATGTGAGTATACCTCTTGGGATGAAAGAGTGTAACTGTACTGAAATTCATTTTCCTGTCCTCCTTTTATACAGTTTTGGCAATTGTTCATTTTTCATACCAAAGATAGTGGTACAGAAGTAGGGGAATATGGATTGCCAAAAAACTTTACAACTTTTTGTTTTTGTTTTATCAATTACACGTATTTTGTTTCAGGTTCATCTGATGTGTGTGTTTCTACAGTAATGCTGGATGGTGGAATCGGCTTCTGGTTTGAGTGTTTTGTGGATTATTATGGATATATAAATGATGTGGATCAAAGCAATATCAGCCCAGGCATAAGGAATGCATTGTGCAAGTAAGTGTTTGGAAGTTTCAAAGATATTACTGCCACTATTTGCTTGGACCCTAGGGCAAGTCAACTAATCTTTCTGTCCTCACACTGATGACTTTACTTATTTTCTTATTCCTTTGTTGTTTACTTATTCTTTCGTGTCCCTGCCATGTAATGGTTGGGAACACAGGATTGCACATTGAAGCCTATGTAACAAATTAATGTCATGCTACCCTTTTTTTTTTTGAACCACTTTTCTTCATTGTTCATGTAATGCTATGAGCACTATATCCTACACACAATAACTTCCTTTAATCAGATTTATATGAAATATCCTTTGATAGTTTGACATGGAATAATTATGGATTCCATTCAAAAGTAATTTTGTATAACAGTACCTGATTGGTAATAAATGAATATTTTTTCCTTGCTTCACAGTATCTGGTTGGCCAATAAAAATGTGCGCTAAACAATGAAAAGTAATGTTTTTCTTCAAAGGTTAACTGCTCATCACTCAGTAAGGCTAACTTAACCAAACTCACATTGTCTGCACTTGCAGAAAATAGTGCCTAACTTCAAATTTAAAATTAAAGAGCATGATGAACTGCTCATCACTCAGTGAGGCTACTCTCAGCAAACTCACATTATCGGCACTTGCAGTGTCTAACTTAAAATTTAAACTTGAAGAGCATGATTTAGAAAGATATGATAATACCAAAGCAGTATACATGTATAACTGTCAAGGAAACTATGTACTGATATGATAGGTTTTACGAAGGAGTTCGGGGCAGAGTATGGGCTTGCAGCCGTCGCCTACTGCAGAACGGTCTAATCTATTGATCACATACTATCCCAAGTCAGGGTAATATGAGGATGAGTGCCTAGGGAGACACAGCCGGAAACAGAAAGTAGATAGAAAATAAAGAAGACATGAAAGATAGGAAACAAAATAGGTTCCCAAGTATTGCAATGGGGGCAGCAGATAATTTGTTGTCCCTTCCATGTTCTCTTTGTAGAAGACACGGAGGAAAAACCCAAATTCTGCAGGGGGCCTTACATAAGTTGCCTTTTACGATACACATGCAGTGGGGCAATTACTCTGTATATATTTCGGCCTGATGTGCAGCAATCATTAAGCATAGGAAAAATGTAGACAGTGCAAATAAGACACATGTGGTGTTGAGAACACTTCATTATTCTGTAAAGAGAAACAAACTTTGTGTCGTTGGAGAATCACAAACTTGTCTAGACAAATAGTCTCTGGTTTTCCCATTTCATTTCCTTGAAACTTGGTAGGGTTTACAGAATAACATTTCTTTCGTTTAAAGGATAAAGTATGGACAGCATATTATATACTCATGCTGTATGCCTGCTAATGTTTCAAATGCCTATGAGAAAGAATTAAAATTGTATTCTTTTTTAAATGACTTATTTCAGATCTTACAATCAAAGTATGGAGTGTCTTCAGAAGAAAGTTAGAGATATCGGACGCACATGTGATATAAATAAGTTCAACTCAAGGATCATGGCCAACGTCACCAATTTCAACATTTCATTTTGCCCAAGTAAGTCCTATATACTCTTGCGTTAAGAGACATTTTCCATCACTTCACAAAATGATAAGCTGTATTTTACAAATTAAACTAGCTATAGGTATTCATTTTCCAATGAAAAGTATATAGGATTTGTTAAATTATTTCTGGAAAAAAAACAAACCTTGAGGGGCTATTAACAAAAATTACACAACAACCACATTGTTCTGACTGTAAAAATTCAGTGTGGCTAGATCAGAATTCAAACCCTGGGCTTCATATTGTTTTACTATCTCTCTAACTGATTGAGCTTCCTGGTCAGATTGTTTTACTATCTCTCTAGCTGATTGAGATTCCTGGTCAGATTGTTTTACTATCGCTCTAACTGATTGAGCTTCCTGGTCCGATTGTTTTACTATCTCTCTAACTCATTGAGCTTCCTGGTCAGATTGTTCTACTATCTCTCTAACCGATTGAGCTTCCTGGTCAGATTGTTTTACTATCTGTCTAACTGATTGAGCTTCCTGGTAAGATTGTTTTACTATCTCTCTATCTGATTGAGCTTCCTGGTCAGATTGTTCTACTATCTCTCTGACTGATTGAGCTTCCTGGTCAGATTGTTCTACTATCTCTCTAACTGATTGAGCTTCCTGGTCAGATTGTTTTACTATCTCTCTAACTGATTGAGCTTCCTGGTTAGCAAAAGTGTCCTGGCCCAAGTGTGCTAACATTGTATATCCAAATAAACTAATCAGAAGTTACTGTATACAGGAAAAAACATAGTGCAATATACAGGGATTTATATATTTTGGAATTTATAGCAAATTGTTAAATATTTCAGTTATTAAATAAAGTTGAAAAATGAAAATATTAAAATGTTTTACTTGTCTGTTATCAGGTGATTCCAGTAGTGGAGAATTGTGTATTTTACGGAGCCATATATCTAAAATGGAACCCAAATTCATGACAATGAATAATCGGCAGGATGAACAGGACACTAAAGACAACACTGGTACACACATGCAAAATGGTACAGTCACTCACACCAGTGATAGGGGTGTTACTACCACTACTTCATCCCAGTTTAGTTCATTTGATCATTGGCTGCCTAAGTGCTTGGTGTATTTAATGAAGGTTTTAACTACATTTGCTGTTCCACTTGATCCATCATTTGGTAGAAATGGCACACAGGCAGATTGGAGTGATTTCCCAAATGCAACAGACCGGGATAGTATGACATGGGCAAATGGAACAAATGCAACAGGTTGGGAAAACAGTCCATCGAAAGACGAAGCAGGTTGGATGAACAATACATATTCAAATGAAACATGGAGTCCTTTGATGATGATGAATATGTCCCTTATTCCTGGCGCAATTATGGAAGATATATGCAGGTAATTGCAATTTGTTATTCAGCTTTCAAAGTGCAGATGTAGGAATCTCTAAATTAGATGAAAAGGGATCTTTCACACTGTGATAAACATCTAATTATAAGCAAAACAGGTGATTGTTGATCCGTCCCTTTAATGCAGACTGTTGATGTCTGTTTAGAGTTCAAGGAAGTAAAAGCTGATCAGTAAAGTTTTAAAGAATCTTATTAAATTGTTAAGTATTTTGTATTAGATATTCATAAAACATGGTTGATGGCACATATGCCCAGAAATTTCCGTCTGAGACGTTGTCCCTGCAGGTAGGGCGTAAGAATTGTACCTGCTGCCCCCCTTGTATGATTGTACGAGGCAACTAAATTTGGGATCTTATCTTTTCTCTCCTTTCTAAACAACTTTTTTCTTCCGAATGTCTGCCTTGACAAAGCCTCACTTTTGGCCTTAAGTTGAGTATTCGCCCTTGTGAGGAAGGTTTTAGGTTCTGTCCCCTGGCCTAGACAAACCAGAGTTTGTAAAAATGGCAGTTTCTACTCCTTCCTAAATTAACGCTCAGCAATTTAAGAGTAGGACAACTTGTTTGCCTGTTGTCAGTATAATGTGACCGGGTGGGGTGTCTTGCTCGGTAGTCCACATGACTAGTTGAATAGATTTATTACTAGTCCTTTGTCAATGTAACTAGTTCAAGATTTCCTCATGGAAACATCGTGATCTACAGCACGAAATATCAAAAGTATTTGACTGTAGAGGCCTTAAGATAACAACTGCCATGAACATATGGTGAAGATTTAGGGGAATTTTGACAATTGTCGTGTAATATATCTTATTTTAAGCAGTTTCCTAAATTTTTATTTTTATTTTATGATCATATTTTTCACAAGTCCAAAGAACCAGTTAGGTAAGGTAATTCACTAGTCCTAGCTGAAATCTACTAGTCAAGGACTAGCGGACTAGTGTTAGTGTCGACCCGTGCCATTGGGTTTTGACCTTCCTTGGTGGAGCACTTAAGTTAATACAATTGGGTATTAACCTTCCTTAGTGGAGCACTAAGGTTAATACAATTGGGTATTGACCTTCCTTGGTGGAGGGATAAAGTTAATACCATTGGGCATTGACCTTCCTTGGTGGAGTGCTAAGGTTAATACCATTGCAGGGGTTGACACTAACTTTTAATAGGTGGTGGACCGCAGGTCCACCTGCTCTCTTGATCTGGTGGACCTGGTTAATTTCTGGTGGACCTGAATAATATTCTCAGATCTGGGGCGCCATGCGCCCGGTCGACGAGCGTAGCGAGGAGTGGGGGGTGGGTTCGGGAGGGGGTACCCCCCTCCTGAATAAGAGTGGGGTACGGGGGTCCTCCCCCGAAATTTTTTAAAAGCTAGATGCAAAATCCTGGCATCTGAGGGTTTTAAACAAATAATGAAGGTTTTTTAATTTTCTGTAAAATACTTGTTTTTTCTCCTTATTTTTTATTTTTTTCCATTTATGAACAAGTTTTAGTAAATGACACAGAAACATGAAACAATTTTCTCCTTGTTTATTATTTTTTACATAGCTCCCATCCAAAGGTGTTTGAAATTCTGACTGTAAATTGAGATAAAGATCATATGAAAAAATAAGGATAAAATAATATACTTTTTTATAGTATTATACCTTTTTTATATGATCTTTATCTCAATATACAGTCAGAATGTTAAAATCATTTGCCCCAACAGTAATCTTTACGTATTTTGTTGCACCTCTATTCAATCCTTCCTGGACATTTCGGAAAGATCTTCTGAGTGCAGCATACCCTACATTTCATTAAGTTTGTGTCAGTATCATTATTGAGCCATGTAAACGATTTTTCCATGACTCCTGAAAGGATATCATCCTTTTTGTTGCCCATACAAACTTTGTGTTGTTTTTGTTCTGTTGAAGTTTTTAACTTTTTTTTGCAAGTGGTTGTAAACCAAGCCATTTAAAAATCGCGACACAGGCGATACGGTACTAGTCTAGTACAGATACTAAGTGAATCGACGGACACGATCACCTAAACGATATACGCTAGAATACGATAGAAATTAAAACGTAACACGAAATTGTGAGGCTAAGTTTACCTTCATTTACCGGTTGACCACCGTGATCGTGACGTCATCGTCATTTTAGTGCTTACAATAGCGGCAAACTATACCACAAGCGACTCAAACGCTGAAAGGATTCCGACTTACCGCAAGCGGATTCACGCACTTCACTCGTCCAAGAATGATAACGACAACTTTTAGCGGTTTAACAACACGAAAATACGATACATTTTTTAACCAGATGGGATTTTACGGCTCGCTGGCGAAGTAAATAAAGTCTTTATTAATATATTTCTGAACAACATTCTCAAATATATATACACTTATCAAGTAATATGTGGTGGACCGGCGGTCTACCAGCTTTGGAGATTAAGTGGACCGTCCAAGATTTTGGTGGACCCGGTCCTCCGGTCTACCGTTAGTGTCGATCCCTGCATTGGGTATTAACCTTCCTTAGTGGAGCACTAAAGTTAATACCATTGGGTTTTGACCTTCCTTGGTGGAGGGATAAAGTTAATACCATTGTGCATTAACCTTCCTTGGTGGAGCACTAAGGTTAATACCATTTGGTATTGACCTCCCTTGGTGGAGCACTAAGGTTAATACTATTGGGTATTGACCTCCCTTGGTGGAGCACTGAAGTTAATACAATTGGGTATTAACCTTCCTTAGTGGAGCACTAAAGTTAATACCATTGGGTATTGACCTTCCTTGGTGGAGCACTAAAGTAAATACCATTGGGTATTGACCTTCCATAGTGGAGCACTAAAGTGAATACAATTGGGTATTGACCTTCCTTGGTGTAGCACTAAGGTTAATACCATTGGGTATTATACCATTGGGTTTTGACCTTCCTTGGTGGAGGGATTAAGTTAATACCATTGTGCATTAACCTTCCTTGGTGGAGCTCTAAGGTTAATACCATTGGGTATTGAACTTCCTTGGTGGAGCACTAAAGTAAATACCATTGGGTATTGACCTTCCATAGTGGAGCACTAAAGTTAATACAATTGGGTATTGACCTTCCTTGGTGGAGCACTAAGGTTAATACCATTGGGTATTGAACTTCCTTGGTGGAACACTAAAGTAAATCGATTGGGTATTGACCTTCCTTGGTGGAGCACTAAAGTTAATACAATTGGGTATTGACCTTCCTTGGTGGAGGGATAAAGTTAATACTATTGGGTATTGACCTCCCTTGGTGGAGCACTGAAGTTAATACCATTGGGTATTAACCTTCCATAGTGGAGCACTAAAGTTAATACAATTGGGTATTGACCTTCCTTGGTGGAGCACTAAGGTTAATACCATTGGGTATCAACCTTCCTTGGTGGAGGGATAAAGTTAATACCATTGGGCATTGACCTTCCTTGGTGGAGCACTAAGGTTAATACCATTGGGGATTGACCTTCTGTTGTGGAGCACTAAGGTTAATACCATTGGGTGTTGACCTTCCTTGGTGGAGCACTAAGGTTAATACCATTGGGTATTGACCTTCCTTGGTGGAGCACTAAGGTTAATATTATTGGGTATTGACCTCCCTTGGTGGAGCACTAAAGTTAATACAATTGGGTATTGACCTTCCTTGTTGGAGCACTAAGGTTAATTCAATTGGGTATTGAACTTCCTTGGTGGAGCACTAAGGTTAATAGCATTGGGTATTGACCTTCCTTGGTGGAGCACTAAAGTAAATACAATTGGGTTTTGACCTTCCTTGGTGGAGCACTAAAGTTAATACAATTGGGTATTGACCTTCCTTGGTGGAGCACTAAGGTTAATACCATTGGGTATTGAACTTCCTTGGTGGAGCACTAAAGTAAATCCAATTTGGTATTGACCTTCCTTGGTGGAGCACTAAGGTTAATACCATTGGGTATTGAACTTCCTTGGTGGAGTGCTAAATTTAATACCATTGGGTATTGACCTTCCTTGGTGGAGCACTAAAGTAAATACAATTGGGTATTGACCTTCCTTGGTGGAGCACTAAAGTTAATACCATTGGGTATTGACCTTCCTTGGTGGAGCACTAAAGTTAATACAATTGGGTATTGACCTTCTTTGGTGGAGGGCTAAAGTTAATACCATTTGGTATTGACCTTCCTTGGTGGAGCACTAAAGTTAATACCATTGGGTACTGACCTTCCTTGGTGGAGCACTAAAGTTAATCCAATTGGGTATTGACCTTCCTTGGTGGAGCACTAAGGTTAATACCATTGGGTATTGACCTTCTTTGGTGGAGGGCTAAAGTTTATACCATTGGGTATTGACCTTCCTTGTTGGAGCACTAAATTTATTACCATTGGGTATTGACCTTCCTTGGTGGAGCATTAAAGTTAATACCATTGGGTACTGACCTTCCTTGGTGGAGCACTAAAGTTAATCCAATTGGGTATTGACCTTCCTTGGTTGAGCACTAAGGTTAATACCATTGGGTATTGACCATCTTTGGCGGAGGGCTTAAGTTTATACCATTGGGTATTGACCTTCCTTGGTGGAGCACTAAAGTCAATACCATTTGGTTTCCCTCTCAGAATCCCACTAAAATTCACTTACAATCCTTGATAACAAGGACAATAGTTTTCCCCTTTTCTGTTTTTGGAACCAAGCTTGTTATTTGAATGTTTTTTAGTTTATTTTTGTTGCTGACATCATGTATAATGAACTTTATTGCTTTTCAAACTTAAGCTGTCTCAAAAACCCCACCAAAAAACTTTTTACAACTAAGTTTACTACTACAGGTAAAACAGCAGATGCCATTTAACTTTACTAATCAACATTGTACAGTCGGGTATTCTGGAGTTTTCATTTGAGCATGATACAGTTGTGGGATTGCACAATGTTACACGATGTGCGGTGTGTGCACGATGTGTGCATGGTGTGTGAACGATGTGTGAATGATGTGTGAACCAAGTGCGAACGATAAAAAATTGGACGATCATTGCTTGCGCACATTTGTGCGGTCGATCAACGAACGTTGTGCGATAACAATCGTGGTTGATAACAACACAGTCTCGGCAACACAGGTAAACAAAGCCACTTTGTACTTTGACGGTGGTTTTCTCCCCGCTCGGGGGGCACTTACGTAACTCGCCAAGGTGTGAAAACCAGGTGAAGTGGAGCTATAGACCAAAACAACTGCAAATAACAAATATTAAACGTCCAGTTGTATTTTTATAACAGTCATAGGGTATCAGATATCAGCTCTATGTGTCAGAGAAAGACCAGGTAACACTCCGGTCACTCATAAAATTGTTATTTACCTGTTCTGTTACCAAGGAGCCAAACCCATTCTTGTCAGTCTAACTGTCACTTTATACTGTGTTACACGCATTGTAAAATTGTACATAATCTCAGTTATAGAGATGAGAGAATTACAGTAATATATACAGTGTACATTATTGCATACAAGCCTTCCATATTTTTTTTCATTCCGTAATATTGATGAACAAATTGTACCAAATCTCACAGTTGTGTGGAGAGAAGCACACAAAGGGGCGAACGATTGTTAAATCGCACATTTGTGCACACCATGTGTGGACGATGTGTGGACAGTGTGTAAACGATGTATGCCTGGTGTGCGCACAGTATTTTTGGTGCGTTGTGCAGTCACACAACTGTAATAGTGAACAAAGAATATCTAAATGGAAGTATGTTCCCTAACTTTAGCACTGATCTTTCATTTGGTATTCATATCAATATGAATGCAAACTGGAAGTGACCTTTCATGAGCATGATGACTATATTTGTGTTCTTTGTGTTGTAGACTGTATGGTGTAACACTGAATTGCCTAAGTCATGGGTTTGGTGAGGAGGGTGAGAAATGTAGCCCAGCATCACTGAACATCTCCATACCACAGTACTTCAGCAGAGTATCAGGCAGACCTGCGTCGGACTTCATGAGACTACAACACTGTCCAGGTAGCAACCTTGTTAGTGTATTTGGGACAAAGTGTGTATCACACAGCTTATGAGATCGATTGGACATGTATCTGTTGGTAATCAAATTATTCCTTAGATAACTCTCCCGTTAGAACCATAGAACAAACATAGGGTCATAATATTTGGTTTGCGAAAAAAAAATGGAGAAAAATATGATGACCAACTTTTAAGGTCTTAGTAATGAAAAACCATAAAAAAAATCATCAAAGTACATAATTTTTTTTCAACAACATCATATAATGAACAGAAAGACTATGATTTATAATATTTGACCAGTAATTCACAGGAATAGAGTACTTCATGCTATGAATTCAACAAAAAGAAATGGAATTGACTCATATTTATAAGGTCACTCAAATTCGTTAAAATACTTGAACACCTTCTTCTTTAAAAAAATGTATAATGGAGGCTACACATCATATTTGGCCAGTAATTTGCTTTTGCACAATATTATAAAATGAAAATGGTTATAAGAGTATCAATATAACTATATGATTTGCATTCTTCATTAACCTATACTGCAATCACCTTGTGTCCGGCTCTATCTTTGTTATCTGTCTATAAACGATTCAAAATTTGGACTGTTCTCCATAACCACTAAACTGAAATCAATGAAATAATGCAGGAAGCTTTCATGGCCAAAGACAAACCAAATTGTGCATTATTTGGATTTCAGCATTGAATAATCTTCTTGACACCTAGTTGTGCTAGAATTAGATATTAATCCTGGTCCTAAGGTGCTGTAACTATCACAGTTGTGATGTGTATTACCATTTGATCCTCAATTTTTCCCGAAGAAGACAGTAAAATATGAGGAAATAACCTTTATTTCAGGTATATTTTTGAGAAGCGTTGTATATAGGCTTGATATGATTTTTGATGGTTAAATTATATTTATGTATATGATACTTGTTGGTCCAATGTTTAAGTCTCCAACATCTGTTGTTGACTTACCTACAGTTTACAAGCTGGTTTGTATGTGGCACTTTTTTCTTTTGTCACATCACTACAGCATATAACAATTGTATAACTTGGGTGACTGTTATTAAGGCCCATGGGCCTCTTGTTTTTTTATTTCTAGCAATTTTGCAGGAGCAATCTTGTAATGACACAAAGAGCCTGAGATCAGCCATACTGGGAAAATGTGCATCACAATTTTTATACATGACAAAGATTAAGGGCCAGTTCCAGGCTTGCTAGTAAGTAAACAATTACTGTAACTAATGTAGTTCTGTTCTGCTTGAAAAATGGTGATATTGGAGGCACTGTAGTCAAGCGGTAAGGACCCCGGGCTCGTTACCGAAGGGTTGCTGGTTCGAGTCACAGCCCGGCACTGTGTTGTATCTTTGAGCAAGATACTTTACTCCGCTTGTTCCAGTCTACTCAGCTGTAAATGAGTACATGGTTGGGTAGTGCAAGAATTGTTGAATGCTAGCTTATAGCGCCGAATTGGCAGCTCCGGATGTTTGCTCCCAAGGGAGTTGAGAAAGGTATTGTCTGGTTGCAAAGGCCCTATAACCAAGGATAATAATTTGTGATCCGCTTTGAGACGACCTACGAAAAAGCGGTATATAAGAACCTCAAATTATTGATAATATTATTATTATATCAAATCCATGGACAGTACTTTATAATTTTCTTATGTTTTACGAACTCTGAGGCCTAGTGTATAGAGCTGTTTGTTGAGATAGGTTAGCATTTGCTTTTCCAAGTCATATATTTCACTATTTCATTAAGGAAATCCGAACCAGATACAGAGACATAATGTGAAGAGGGAGTTCACTGGACCATAAATAGGTCAATGTGACTGTCACTGTGACCTAGTATTTTCACTTCATGTTACATCTGTTGCATGATGTTACGCCTTGGGAACTGTGTACTGTTGTTAGGTCACCTGAGCTTTGCTCAAGTGACCTATTCTAATCGCTCTTCGTCGTCCGTCGTCCGTCGTCCGTCGTGCGTAAACTTTTACATTTTCAACTTCTTCTCAAGAACCAGTGGATGGATTTTTTTCAAACTTGGTCAGAATCATCCTTGGTAGATGAGGCTTCAAAATTGTAAAATTGGGATTCCTACCCCAACCCCTGGGGCCAGGGCGGGGCCCCAAAGGGAAAATTATCCAATATTTCAAAAATCTTCTTCTCCAGACTCA